CTATGTTCGATCGGTGTTTTTCATGCATCCGGATCCCTGATCAACCCCCAGAAATATCAGTCACATTTCTGCACCCCTGCCCAAGAAGAAACCCTGCTCCCAAGAATTCACAAAGGATCTAAGGCCGGACGCACGCCCCTTAGCGCAACCATGGCCGGGACCAAATGAGGAGTGAGGGCCTTCTTCCAGGGCGACACCGACTTGGCCCTACGGCAGTGCAAGCCCCAGGTTGGAGGACGGAGGTGCGCGCCAGTGTCCAACTCTTTGCTTGAGAACATGTTGTTTATTTAGTATTAGTATTATTATTGATATTTTTGCCTTGTTGGTTTTAAAAGGAATTCATCACTACTGGATTTTTGTTCCTGGGGCCTCAACCAATTGCAAGCAACTTTGGAAGGAGCTGGCTGGGGTACTCAAAGGGGTGAGCGGGTACTTAGTAAGTGATGAGCAAGCTTGGCCATAAGCCACTTAGGATACTTGTAACCATGGCTTCTGTAGATTATAGCCAGGCTGACTAACCACTGACCTGCTGTACCCGATCGCCTCTTTAAGTAACCAGTGAGGCAAATCCGAACAGCCTAAGGAGGGTGGGATTGAACAAGAATCAACAGGCGGTGAAGCTCATCCACAAATCCGACAGAGACTTTACACAGCAGTGACATTATTTCATTGTTTAAATTGTTGCCACTTGTAGAAACAACTACTGTTGAATCATGCGCACATTCTCCAGGGGGTCGCAACTTGTTTTGCTTTTCACCTGCGGGTTCAAGTACCTAAGCAGGTACTTTGACCCTTGCAATCCTAGGGGTGGTCCAACATAGGGGATATCCAAGCGGAACACCACGACGAACTCGCACCAGAAATCGCTACCTGGCATAAGGAATCCGGATTGCTTTGAAACAAACCAATCTCTTCCATGTGCCACTATATCAGGTTCACCAGGAAACTAAAAAACAAACTAAACTAAACAAACTAAAACTAAAACCAAACTGTGTGCTTCAAACAAACACTGTGTCCTTCAAACACTGTGTCCTTCAAACAAACTACACTAAAAAGATGCTAATTTCCCGCTCAATGAACCAACGAACGAGACCTTTGTAGTATATGTTGTAGCCAAAAAGGCGAGTTGGGGGGTGACCAGAAAGATGTCTGGTCGCGTTTATCCTTATGGATGAGCTTCACCGCCTGTTGATTCTTGTTCAATCCCACCCTCCTTAGGCTTAGGTTGAAAGCATCCCACCGGAATTCGAAAAGTATGGCTGTAAGGTTCTACCTGGTTTAGAAGGCATAGGAAGGCCAACATAGTGTATGGGATTGACTCAACATACGGTTGAACCTTCCAAAACAGCCGGTGAGGATTGCATTTATATAGAACCATCCCAAAAAGGAACCTCCCGCCCCAAAAGAAACACGAGCCCCCCCCAAAAAACCTTTGCAGCCATATTGGTAGAGGCAAAAAGCCCGCCAGGGTGAAACGAGGCTAGCCTGAGTCATCCTGACGAGCGGAAACGTGCCAAGGGGCCCCTCCCCACTCGCCCCAGAGCCAGCCACTGCGGAAAACACTTTTCATCGCCCACTTCTTTAATCAAAAAGAACACTTTCAACCAAGTTCCTCGTAGGGACCCTCTGCGAATGAAGAGAATGCCCAGCAGTGACCAGTGACAGAGCTGTTGGGCCTCGGGACCATGGGTAAGAACCTGCCCATACCTCCTTGAGTGCTGCGGCCCTGAATGGATGGCTCGTCTTACCCTTTTTTGGGGGTGGTCTTGAAAGGGAAAAGGGACTCCAACCATTTTGCGGGGTCCTAGTTTGAAACCTTTGGTGCATTTTGCTTGGATGTTAGGACTTTAACTTTTGGCCAACTAATGGGGGTTCCATTTAACCACTAAAAGTTAAGCTTTTAGCAGGGGAGCAGAAAGCAACCGAGAAACAATATTGGACATCCTTTGGGTTGGTTTTAAAAGGAATTTATCACTACTTGATGTTTTGTGTTCTTTTTCTTTTTTTTCCAGGGGTCTTAACCAAATGGAAGCTTGCGTGTTTTGGCCACACAGCAAGTTACAACCATAGGTATGAGCGAACCAACTCTAGTCAGCCAGCTTATGACCTGAGATATAACCTACGTACTTGGATTGATCATTCAAGTATTCCCCATATCTAAGACACAGTCTCCAGGGAATTATTCAGGAAGCGATTTGCCCAAAATGTTTCTTCTTGTGGGTATGTGGCGATGTGTTCCTGGAGAGGAGATGGTTTCCAGAAACCAGCTGACAGGAAGTTGTACAGGACATTGGCCAAATACCCGCGAAAAAACAGGGATTTCCAATGGAATTTCCAGTTGCTGCTTTCTAGGACGTAAAAGAGACCATTGGGGATGGTTTATAGGGATCATTCTATGTCTCATTCCCTGAGCACCAGCAAGTTTCTTAGACCGGATGTGTCCACCTCCACCCCCCTACCAAAAGCCTTCGATGCTCATGCCGGAGGTTTCACTTGGGCCTTGAGAAGGAGGAGGTCTCTACCAAGATCCTCGCAAGGCCCGGCTCTTGCGGGCGGCCGTCCGAAGGCTTTGCCGTTCAGAAGCGTGAGTGGCTCAACTTCCCCTTGTTCATCTTCAACTCATATTTGTTGTGCGCTTTTCTAACCTAAAAGGGGAGGTGTAACTCAACTCAAAAGGCGCTTTTCCCCCTTTCAGACCCCTTTGCAAGTGCTTGATTCTTTGCGGCTGCAAAAGTCCCGGAGGCTGATTCCTGGGGTCTTGTTTCCGCCGCGCTTGTCGCCAAGGGAGTTTGGCAGAACCTGGGTTTGAAGTCGCATGGAGCTGCCACTGCGCATGATTTGTTCAGTTTCTCAGTTGCCCAAAGCGAATCGACATGATCTGACCTTTTGGTTTTCCCATTTTGGTAACCAGTTTTAGCAAAGGTGCCAAAAGGTGATCAGCTTTTCATTTCTGGGTCCGAGCTGGGCAAGTGAGGTTGACGAATGGAACGGGGCCGGCCAGAGCCAAGTTCTAAGCCATGCAGCACGGGTCGAGCTTGATTCGATATTAGTTGAGTTGCCCAGTGGTGCCCTTTTGTTTGTTTTTTGGGGGCAGGGTGTCCCTTTAAAGTCAACCAACCAACAAAGGATGCCCTTTCTCTTCTCATTGAAATCCACTGGGCATCTGAGTTAGTAAGGGCCAACCAGCTCAGTCACTTAAGGCGGGTGTTGGGTAGCTTTGCAGCGAATGCTTTGGTGAGTGGCTGGGTTTTGGAATTCATTTGACATGTTGGCCATCAGATGGGGGAGAGTCATAACATATCTGGCCCTAGTTGGGAACGGAAGGATCCCAATCCCTCCACCCAAGTAGAGTTTGGGCAGGGTGCATCCAGAACTTTAGCAAGGGTCAAGCGACTATGTCATAGTTTCCCTTGGTGAACGGCAAGCCTGGGTTTTATGAAATACAGCAACTTGCCCAGAACATACCCCAACCACAAAAGCTAGGCAATCCCAGGCTTCCATGTCGGCTTTGCTTGGCCTTCTGGTTGGTGTTGAGGAGGAAAGCAAAGGACCCCTTCATTGCGGTTCCTTGAGTGGAGATTCACCTTGGTACCTAATGAATTAGTCCACTTACCGCAGAAGGCCAAGCAAAGCCGTCATGGAAAGCCTGGGATTGCCTTGCTTTTGTGGTTGGGGCATGATCTTTACCCTGTTGACAATCACCCACTTATTTTGTATATACCAATAGGTAGCAAGGGGGATGAAGAAATTTGACGAAATGTGGCCTTTTTGTCTTGGTTAAAGGGCCGTGTCTATGCCTCGAGAGACACTCGGGGTCGTATATCCGATGGGGAAATGGGCTGGACGTCGAGTGGTCGCTCTTTTGAGGTTCTCAGCCATCCGGTTCAACTTTGGTTTTTTGACCCCCGTCTTTAGTTGAGCAGGGCTCCTTAAAAGATACATTTTGCAACCATCTGAAACATGTTGTTTTTCAACACCAAAAAAAGTTGGACACCTCCATTTACAAGTTGCAATGTTCAGGTGTATAATGCATCCGGATCCCTGTTGAGGAACAAAAAACACCATGAAAGCTGGGTTTCCGGTTCAACTTCGGCTTTTTTGAACCTCGTCTAAAGCTTGAGGAACACCACCATCAAAAGTGGGTTTCCACTTTTCGCGGGGGGAAAAATGGCCGGGGCGTTTCCCGGGCAGGCGGCTTTACTTCGTGGCAGAGCTGGAGAAAGGTCTCGGTGACGCCATCAGGCCAAGAGCGGTTCCGCCGAGAAGGAATAGCGCCCGCTGGTTTGGCGGGCGCTGAATTTTCCCGTGGAGAGCTCTATGATGCTCTTTTTTTTTGGTAAAGTAGCTCAGTTGTTCAGTGGCACCCTTTTTTATTTTTCCCCTTTTTATTGGTGGCTGCCCCACTAAAAATGGTCCAAGCCCCAAAAAGGGTTCCCTTTTTTTGTCCAGGGTCGCTGAACAACTGAGGTACCCGTCATGTACCTATGTATTTGAACTGTCGCATTTTCAAGGGGCACCTGGGGCTACATGATCGGGACCTTGAATTGAGGGCGGGTTTACAGGGAAAGCAAACAGAGAACCGCCTTTATCACACGCCCAGATAGAACTTTGGGTTCTGCGAAGAGTCCGCTATGATTTTCAAGGGGCAACCTTCGCAAAAACATGTCATTTGGTGTAAGTGATGTCCACCATCGGGTCCCCAAATACAAATTATACACCTCACCATGACCCCAAACCTCACTCACTGAATTTCCCAGACTTTAGTCGATTTGTGGGAAGACCATTTTTCTGGCAGACCACAACTGCTACTGTTTTTTGCCATCCACTGCATCCAACCCGAGGTCTTTTTGGTGGCTGGAGAGTTCCCTAAAATAATCTGGGTCCTTCAGCCCCCGAATGCCGCTAGCGAGAAGCGCACGATATGGGTGTGTCCTTTTGTTGATGGTAGCCCTGGGTTGGTTTATTTTTACAGTGAAACCAAAAGGAAACCCCACAATTTAGGGGGTCCCCCGCAAACAAAGACACACCCACATCAAGTTTGTTGTTTTACAAAAAGCCAACACAACAGCGGCAACCTTAGCAAGGCATTTCTTTATGCTTCCTTCGGTGCCTCCCTGGGGTTTCGACGGGTTTCGACGGAGGTGCCTGCGACGCGCAGCGCAGCTGGACCCAGAGCTGAAGCAGGCAGCTAGCGATGGATCGGGGATCGAGCGATGGATATGCCCTAAGTGATATCATGGTTGTTGTTGCTAAATGTGGTGAGTGGTTACCATGACAACAATAAACATGATAAAGTGGGATTTTACTTTGAGGTGGATACCATGATGACTTTGAAGTGGATATCTCTGCACTTCAAACATCCAAAACATCGCCTGGCGCCAGGGGCACCACCAAAGCCTGGTCCAAAAAGCCAGCAAAACACTGGGGGTTATTCAGGCTCGAACCATGGAAACTGCACGCTAGATGCGGTGTTTTGGAGGGTTGTAGCCAATATTTTTCTTGGCCCTCCCAAATGGGAGGCTGCCACTCGGATGTGGTTCAGGAGCAGATCCAACCATCCATTATCATGTGGGTGTTGAAGGTCTCTGACTTTTTAGAGATGGAGTTGCCACTCCCGAAGCACGAGGAGTTGCGAGCTGAAGCATTACTCCATCGAAGGGAGACGGCCGACTACTGCATTTTTGTGTCTCACCAATGGATCTCAGCAGCACATCCAGATCCTGCAGGAGACCAGTTTTCGGTTCTGCAGCAGTGCCTACGGAGGATTTGTGATGGCAGCATTGCAGTTTCAAACGACGCGGCTTCTCAGCTGCTTGGGCAGGCGAAGACACTCTCTGATCAGCAGCGCGTTAAAGTTCGCCATGCTTTTCTTTGGCTCGACTGGGCCAGCATCCCTCAAGTGGAAACCTTTGAGTCTGAAGAAGCGGCCAGTCGACAAGGTCAAGAAGCTTCCGCTCGCACTTTCGTCTACCAAAGCGAGTCGAGGCCAGCACGCGTTTCTACGCAGCAAGAATACATTCTATCACTTCCCTCGTTTGTTCAAGCATGCCAAGTGTTCGTGGCGTTGGTGCCACCACTTGTTCACCATGTTACCAGACAGAAGTGCAATCATGCCAGCTGGATCACGCGCGGATGGTGCAGAACTGAGATGTTTTGCAAGATGATGCTGGGCAACCAGGACATGCCCATCATTGTTGTCACAGCTGCAGATGTGGCTCAGTATGCACGACCTGTTAACTGGGTGGACTGCTTTCCACATGAAGCAGAATTCAGCTACAAGGGTGACCGGATCGTGGTGAAAGACATATTTGAGCAAGCGGTGTCTTACCAACTGAGCTGGCTGGAGCATCAGGGGGACGTAGACCTTTATCGTTACTTTCTTGCAAGGCGTGAGATTATGACTGAGCGGTGTCCAGTGACACGCAAGCTGCGTGAATTCTTGGAGGAATTTAGATATGGATCGCTCAAGAAGAGCAGGCGGTCCATCTTTGGTCCAGTGGTTCCTGCGGTTCTTGCAGGGGATGTTCAGCTGGTGAAAGTGCTTTTGGAGGCTCGCTGTGCTATGGACAAGCCTCTAAGAGCGATGCCGGAGGTGGGGATTGAGGCAGGCTTGACTGCCATGCACTTAGCCGCTTTGCAGGGCTGGCGCCATCCAGAAGTGCTGCAAGTTCTTTTGGAGGCTCGGGGAGATCCCAATCTTGCTGCAAGAGGAGTTCCCCTTCTGGCATGCTGCCGCACCGCCGGAGATGTCCAGATGCTGGTGGATCACAGGGCAGACGTGAACGGAGCATATAGGCCGCTGCATGTTCCGGTTTTGGCTTTGGCAAGTGGAGAGAACACCAAGCCTTCGGTGATTGCTCAGCTCTTGAGCTGCCGTGCCAGTCCGAATCCTTCTCCGCATGCTGGTGGACTTGGGCTGACCTCGGCCTTGTCCATGGTGACTGTGAATGCAACATCCAATCCGCATGCTTTGGCAGTAGCAGGTCTTCTTTTGAAGGCAAGAGCGGACGTCAACTTCCGTGGCAGTCCTGGAGGCGTTTTCCGCGCTCTTGAACTGATGAGCAGAGCATGCCTTCATATCGGCAAGCCGCGTTCGCTCTTGATAACGATATTGGCGGAGCAAAGCACAACGCCCCTCGGCTTTGCTTGCTTGCTTGGCTGCACAGCAGAACTTGTCCAACTCTACGTGGATGCCGGAGCGGATGTGAATGCGAAGAATGCACGGGGCCATTCTCCACTGGACCTGGCTCGATCTCAGGCTGTGCTGACCATTCTGCACGAGGCGATCGAGCCTTGGAACCCTGCAGAGTGGGAAGCCCCGCAAGAGTTTCACATGCAGGTTGGGCGGCGTATTGACGACAACCTGTAAATGCGATGGTGCGAAAACATAGTGAAAGCGTGAGGGTGCTTGGAGATCTGCCCAAAAGGAAATCCAACAGTATGCTTATTTGCGCTTGCTACACTGCAGGTCAAGATCACACAATTTTTGACCATCATTCATATCACCATCAACACAATGGGGGTTCATAGAACCACCATTATTTACCTGAGGAGTTTTATCATTCAAATTGGGTCCTTTCCATTTTTTTAATGGGTTGGACCTGGGGATATGGGGGGTTGATCAATATTCCTGGCCCCAAATGACCATGCCATGTCGGGCATATCGTCTCTTTGGTGGTTTTCCAGCCAATGGTCATCCCATGTATTTCGGACCTTCTGATCAACCCCCATGTAACTTGGTGGCTCCCAGGCATCCGGACACTCCTATGCACTGATTTATTTCTACCTCCATATGGCTTGTCGGTCGGATCCAGCCGTCCGCTTGAACTTAGCCTTTTTGGATCTTGTTGGTTGGTTTGGTGGTCATTTCCGAAGATAAGCCACTAAAACGTGAGTCACTTTTAGCAGATCAGACAACGCGCCCAGAAAAGAAGAGGGGATATGGGCGCTTTTGCTTCTTTTTTTTTCTATCAGGGGGCCCTCCGACGCGTTGGATCTTTAGACTTTAGCTTTTTGGGAAATCAAGCAGGTGTCCAATAGAACCACAAGTCTAACTTTTTGCAGAGGGGTTTCATGGCAACCAAGACCAGTTCGGATTGGCTGAATATGAAGCAGAAACGGAAGATATTCTTTCTGTGTACCGTTGATTTGGCTTCCGTTTCGGAAAAACGTTCGGAATCGATCGGATCGGTCCCTTGGAGCAACCCCTTGGTGTGCCCCTTTGACGTGTTGCTTCTTGTTTGTTCCATATGGGAGCAATGGTCAATATTTAAGGGACTCATTCGTAGTGTCCGCCCACACGACCATCTGTGAATTCAAGAGGCAGGTGCACGCGTGGCTGCCCTGCGTTGTCTTTCTCGTTCTGTTTATCTTTCTCTGTATGGTGATATGTTATCGTTCTCGTTCTCTGTATCTTCACATAATTGCCCGATCCGCTGAAAACCGACACAACGAGGATACTGAAAAATGTTCATTCTGCAAGCTTTTTTCACCGGGGAATGGTCACGGTTAATATTAAGAGATTATCTATTTGTCCATCGGTCTCTCTATTCATCTACCTATCTATAATATATCCACCTATCCATCACCTTTCATATTCAGTGGAAGGGATTATCGATTTATCTATGTGTGTGTCTATCTATATCTATCTATCTAGCTGTCTGTCTATCTAGCTGTCTATCTGTCTGTCTATCTGTCTGTCTATCTATCTGTCTTTCTATCTATCTCTGTCTGTCTGTCTGTCTGTCTGTCCTGTCTGTTTGTCTGTCTGTTTGTCTGTCTGTCTGTCTGCCTGTCTGCCTGCCTGCCTGCCTGCCTGCCTGTCTGCCTGCCTGCCTGCCTTCTGTCTGTCTGCCTGCCTGTCTGTCTTATAGTATGTATATCTTATCTTTATCTTGACCGGTATCTTGATCTTATCTTATCATCTCCTTTTCACGTAAGTCTATCTATCGGTTCTAGGACCGCCTGGGTTGGCGACACCGGGGTGCTCCTTTGGGTTTATTTCTACCTCATGGCTCGGCGGTTCGGAACCAGCGAAGCGTCCGGTTGCCTAGTTTTCGTAGTTTGTTTAAGTGTTTAGTGTGTTTTTTTGGTTTGCTTATTTGGTTTAAGTGTTTAATGTTTTTTTAGTTTGCTTAGTTGGTTTAGTTGGCTTAGTTGGTTCGTTTCTGTTGTTTTTTGTTTCGTGGTCTAGTGTCAGTGAAAGTTAGTCACTTTTAGCAGGTTTGTCTGAGGACAGCCCAGGTTGTTTTTTTCAAAATAGGGCTTGGCTTTCCCCCAAAACGTCCATGGTTTCCTGTTGGCTTTCTTTTCGATCCCTTCACAGAAGGGTAGCCTCAAACAGCCGAGCCGCCCTTATCCACCAGCTTGGGCAGCTCCGAGGCCCACGTCGCCCTTTGCTTGGCCTTGGAAGAGGCTCCTTGGATTGCAGGGTGCATTCATGCCCTCAACCCTCCAGTTTACGGTGTAGGGTTTTTGGTTGCAATTGCCCTCAAACCCCCTGTTTAGGGTTGTGTTTTGGGGTTTAGTTTTGGGGCTTCACTTGCCCTCAAGCCGTCAGGGGAGTGAGTGCTAGGAGAATGTGTTTGTTTACTCGCCCAAAGCCGACCTTTCTTAATTTAACCTTTTGGTTCTTCCATTTTGGTCCATTTTTTAGTAAAGGCCCCAAAAGGATTTCCTTTTGTTTCCAGGTCCTTTGGGCAAGCGAGTTAGGGCTTAGTTGGGGAGCATATTCTATTCCTGGGGTAAAAGTTGGCGGTGTTGCAAGTGACCCAAAAAGACCACCAAAACTGACCGCCCAGTTTGCATTAATCTTTTGTTTGTTACCTCCAAGTGTGTCTATTGTTGAAACAACGAAAATGGCTTGGATTGACACGGGCATCTCGCGTCCGCAGGTCCGCAAGCCAGTTCAGCAGCAGGATTGGTGCTTCGCAACATTGGGTCTTGCCAAAAGAGAAATGAGTTTGTCTCCAATTTGGTGAGACCCCAAAGATGGGCGGTTTTCTGTGTCCCACTCAACAACCCGCGATGAGAGGGTTTGTGGATTGAACCTAAGGATATGAGCAACTGAGAAATTCTTGGTGGTGTGTTCTTGGCTTCGGGCCGCCAGGGGCGCGACAACCCATTTTCTTCACAAGCTAGGGGCACAAGCGCCAACTCAAAATGATCCAAGCGATTTTTGCTGGGGCCCTTTTGCGAGCTGGGAGCCATTGGCGTCTGGTTTGTTCAGATTGAACTCTTTCTCCTTATGCCAGATTGTGGTTCCCTTGTGGGGACGTCCAACGGAGCTTGGAGCAACCTGCTAATGTTGACCCCCGGAACGCTAACCTCCAATTTATGAATATCGGGGGGATTCCCCCTCTAAGAGTGATGAATCTCCAATATATAATACCATGGACACCCCACACTAATAAAGAGAGGTTTATCAATCTGGGGGTCAACACTGCGGATTACTGATTAGGGCTACGGATCCCATTGTGAACCAAAGAAAGGGAACGATGACACATAATTATTGATTTCCCCAAACCGAAATGCAAAAAGAGATGGATAATTGCTTTTCCCCAGACCCCCGACAAAAACCAGCACAGTGGCACTTGTAACTCCGAGATTGCTCAAATGTCATGCTGCGGATGGACAAACTCCACTTTGTGTGGCGTGCCACATGCTTTGCCGCGAGCGGGTAGGCGACCTCCGACAGGGAGAGGTCCAGCTGGTCGCGGGAAGCTTCTCCACGGCGTATTCTGGAAGTTCATGCGCTACGGTCATGTGCGATCACGACCCCCAGCGGCTGAACATGTGGAGAAGCAAGTACGGAAGCAAAGAGGGTAACAACAGGTCACCGTGGCTGCAGCCATTGCTTGTTGGTAATTATTTACGTTGCCTGGACCTTCAAACTCCGGGAAATATCTGGGCGTGTTGGGAAACCCCGTCGGTTTTTGCTACAATTAGGGCAAACACACCTACGATGTGCGCCGTTTCCAGTCGCGCATTGGCCATAGAAAGTAAATACACCTCGCAGCCCTTGCCAACGTGCCAGTGAGCACCATGCATGGGATGCCTTGATCATCAGAAATACGACTTTTTCAGATTTGGGCGTTTCAAAATGGATACGTTTTTCTGCACCACAACTTTGGACCGCCGTTGCATGTTTTGACAAACTTCCCTGCAAAGCTTCCTTTAATCTGTCAAAGGCTGCGAGCATTGCAACAAAGTGTGTTTTAGCGAGTTTTAGGATTTTCAGGTTTTTGCGGCTACGATTCCAGTCAAAGGCGAAAACTACCTTCCCTTTTTCAGGAGGACAAAGGTCCAGGTCCGAATCATATCTCATTCCGTTGGGTTTCTCAAAACGACGCGAGACTCGCGGATGGATGTTTGGATCAATTTCCGGCTGTCCGCGTTCCGGACCAGGGTTGGGATCAAGGGCCTTCTCCCCAAAGTGATACATTTTAGAATCTCCCCCTTAACAAATTGGGGGGGGGACATGTCTGTCTTTCGGAAGCCCTTTTCTTCTTTTTGTACCATATGCGGGGAACACTTTGTGGGGAAACCCCTTTCCTTCTTGTGGATGTGTTAATCCACCCTTTGGGAAACCCTTTCCATTAATCCACCACAGCCTTCGAAATGGACGCTTGGAGCTTTTCGAAACGTCTCCTTCCATTCGGTTAAGAATATGTTTAATTTCCCCTGTTGGTTTAAAAGGGAATCTATCAGGGCTTTCAATGGAAGATCCGACCCCTCCACTAGACACCCCAGAGGTGTTTGTGCATGTTTTGGGGTCTCAAAACCTGGCTGTTTGAGGGCCCTAAATACATCGAAGGACATATATTTTCCTTTTTTTTCCCAGGGGACGAAAACGCCAATGGAAGGGTCACAGTCGCCCAGTGACGCGCGCCCGGTTTGCCTTTTTTTGTTTGCCTGGGTCCCCCAGTAGTGCCCGTTTCCCCTTTTTTTGGGGAAGGGTTCCGAACCAACAAATTGGATGCTCAGAGGTTCCGGGAGGTTCCGAGATGTTTTTCCAATGGACGACTCAAGCAAATGGAAGCTAGAGACATCTTCCCAGCTGAAAGAAGGGCACTTTTTGGGGCAGGGGTATTGGCCATGAAATGAGCACAGGGCTTTGGGGTTTCCCGTTTCGAGGTCTCCCCTTCGAGCGAACACCGATCCAGACGGTCGGTTCTTCGTCGCAATCCCAGGCCGGGGAGGAGGAGGCGCTGCGCTCGGCCGCCTGCCGCGCCGTGGTGGAGGGGGGACTTTGGAGCCACTGGAGGCGGATCGAGCGCGGGCGCGGGCGCGGGCGGCGCGAGCGGAGAGAGGAGAGAGAGAGGAGAGAAGACGGAGGGAGAGCGAGAGGCATACTCAGATAGCTGTCCAGGCAGCCCACCCCTCCCATTTCTGTCTCCATGACAGAGAGGAAGGCGGCAAGAGAAAGAGAAAGAGACGTGGAAAGGTGGCCTTTGTGCTGGAAGGATCCGCTTTTGTGTGTGTGTGTTTTTTGCTGGAAAGCAAGAGGAACAGAGTTGCTGGACTTGAGTCGCTTTTGAGGGTTGGAGCATTGTACTAGTAGAGAAACAGTTCATTAAAAAAAAAAACTCGGTCATCCACTCAGGAAGTGAGATAGGGAGACCAAGTGTTGTTGGGACCCCCAAAATGGTTTCAGCTTACCTTTTTGGAGGTCTTTTTTTTTGAGGGAGCCACGTGGTTTTTGGGTTGGTTGAAAGGAGACAGGAAAGCCGCAGATTTTGTAGGTCCTTTGGACAAAGCCGAATAGAAAACATCTCATGGGGTTGGTCTACAACTGAACGACTGCACGCTAGGGTTGGTACCAGGTGCCAGAAGATACACCCAACGCCCTCAAGTGCCGGGGTTGGGTAACAGAACATCTACAATTCCCTAGCTTGGTACCCTTCCCCCAATTCCACACCCGAAACGGTTGCGGGCTTTGAAGGATTGCACGAAACCAACCTTTGAGGCTGCTTCCTGATACAAACCATACCCTCATATACCCATAGGGTCACCCGGCTTTGAAACTGATTCAACTTGAGTGAGACTGGGCTGTTCTCAGCCATACACTTGGACGTTTAGCATAATTTTGCCGTTCGAGGGATTGAAGTTTTGCAAGGGATCATCGAACCACAAAGAAGTTCAGGGCGTGTCTCACTTGAGAATCGGGCCGGGTCCTCTTTCGGTCTTTTGGGCCGGGTCGACTTTTGAAGATCCTTTTGCACTCTCCCTTTGAAACGCTAGCTTGTTCAAAACCCAATCCCCAAACGAGTGGCGGAGTACGGTTTGCGCGGTTTATGGATTAGATTATGCGGCTCGCTGGTTGCGAGTTATGGGGTGCACAGATGTTCCATGCTCCAACATATCGTTTTGACCCAAAGCTTGAAGCGCGGATTGCGGATTAGCAAGATTAGATTAGCAAACACAACAAGGATCAAGCGGATTACGGCTTGCAATTGGGTTCCCAGGATTTCGGACAGGCTAGAAGTGATCATGATATTGGTGTTTGGAAGCAACACGGCAACACATACATATATATATATATATACATAGCACATCGCTCCCGTGTGTGTTTGTTGCATTTGAAGCGAGCACTGCGATTCATTTGCGAAGACATACTTCATGACAAACACCAGAAATTATGCCCACGGAACTTTGAGCGCCCATTCTGACTCTTTCTTTCCTATCAGGCCAAAGCTTTGAAACTTTAGCCAAAGCAGTCTTTCAAGGAGAGACCTGGTAGCCCCCTAAGCATATGTCTGATTATGGCTCTGATCACGTGGTGTCCATTCCTTGTTTATGACGGACGAATGGTTGAGTCGTTTCGTTTTTTTTTTTGGCCCCGCCAAAGGGTTTTCCCGTGGAAAGTCCGACACTGTAACCCAGACAACCAACTTGTTTTTGAAAGAGCCTTCTTTTGGGGGGGTTTATTTGTGTGGTTATTCTGAATTTGCAGGGGATTTGGTCTCTTCCCTCTTGCCAGGATTCCAATCTCTTTCACCATTTCACCACAAATTCCCAGAGAAGCGCCGTGGGGCCGTGAACTTGCACTTGCAGACATGGGATAGCAACGGGTCATTGCCTGATCAGGAAGTTCATTGGTGCCTCATAGGATTGGACCCGCAAAGACGTCTAGTCCCTAAGCCACTCCATGAGAGGATACCTGGATCGCCAAGTTGCGATCGCTTATTCGCAAAGACTGCTGCTGGGGAAAAAAAAGGGCGATCGCAGCTTGGCAACACCCGACGTGCGACAAGTTGCCAAAAGCTGGTGCAAGCCAGGCAGCGGCCTGCTGCCTTTTTGCCTGGCCTGGCCCGGAAGCCCGGATGTGGCCGATTTGGTGGGTCAAAAGTAGGAATCTCCAAAAAGGGAAGGGTTGGTCTGGTAAATTTGCGGTTTTTGAGTGGTTTAGTTTTGACCCATACCAATGTCGATTCGCTAGGTGAAACCTTCCCCCTTTGGTCGACCTTCCCTTGTTCAAGGCCTGTTTTTAATTGAATCCAAAAGGTTTACTAAAGGTTCACAACCCCCTTGCAGCTTATTTCTGGACCCTAATTAAATGACGAACTGTAACCGTGAACCCCACCTGAAGTCTTAATTTTAGGGGCGACTTGACACACACACACACACACATGGGAGGCGTGAAAAGACCTGACCGTCGTTTCCGTTCTCGCTGAGATGCAAGAGAAGTCAAAAGTCCCTGTCAGACTTTTGCGCTTGTGCTGAAAACCAGCCGTCACAGTTTTCAGTTCCTGAAAACTTCGCCCTGTCGCAATGTGAATGTTAAGGCCCACATGTTGGCCATGCTTGAAGGCGGGCCCTATAGGGGTCGTGGTCCCTGTACGGTGTCATTTTTGTTTTTTTCCGAACAGTGCCCCTTTTGAAGGGAGGTATGAAGCCGGGAGCCAGGATGAAAGCACCCACTCGGCTTAAGCAAATCAAGTACACCCCTGCTTTTTGTCGGATCCAACAAGAGGGCTGATGATGGCCTATTCTTGCTAACCTTTCACTTGGGCCGTAGCGGCCCTATTTTTCCTGCGCCGGATGACGGAAGTACTCGGACTCATGTCTCATGTTGCTCGCGTAGCTTAGATCAGGTCCGAAGCCACAAGCATCGAAAACCCGCTGAGGTTCTATGACAGCTCAGGTTGTAGGCTTAGGGCTACCTTCCATTTCCATTTTTCCAAACATCCAAATCTTTCTACAAAACCACCCAAAACCCTGAAGAAAGGTTGAAGCAAATGGGGAAACTACCCTTAGAGTTGTGCCCGTCCGGAAGAAATGTGAAAGTCAGGTGGCACTTGTGGCCAAATGTGCTAAGGCTTAGCGGCGACATGTCAAGAGTGCGTGTGAACGAACAACGTGCAGCCAGCCCAACTGGTCAGTCATGGGATATCGTGTGTGCAAACATGCAGACTCTTCCATGTGCCCTGCCAAAAACAAGTGTAGAACCTGCACAGGGGTCCCTTCAAAGGGAACCTGGTCTTCCAGGAGCCCTGCATAGCGGTAAAGCAGGCAGCAAATGGAATCACCCGTTCAAAGCGAAAAGGGAACTGGCTGGTTTGCGTGCTGCGAAACAGTATCGACTGAGCTGGGTCCTAAGCTTGTTTCGTCCAAGTCAAAATCGGCCTTTCCGACATCTTGCCTTGTGGCGATTTTGTCAGGTCTTATGAAGGAGGATACGCTAAAAGAGCAGCCATATGGGTGTGGTTCAACTAAAACAGCTGGGGTTATGCAGGTTTTAGTCTTGTTTCCAGTTCTTCCAAGGTGCCAAGTTGGGTACCATTTTTGGAGCCACCATTTCATTTTGTCAGCCCTGGTTTGGTGGATTCCTTCAGCATCTCTAAACCATCGGAGACTTGTCGACGTATGGGACTTCTTCTAAATGGGTGCGTCTTTTTTGAGGGTGTCCTTTTTGGGCTAAGAAGGAAACCACAAGGAACTGTTCAACCCTCGGACTTTTCAAAAACCGATCGCCACCGTCCCCCCGTTTTGAGACAAACCCAAATAGGGAAAGACAGGGCCCCTCTAAACTCCAAGGTTCGTAGCCTTCGACCAGAACCCCTGAGCACAAGAGCCCTTCCGGCTCGGAAGGCCGGTTTTATGCCCCAAGCACTGCTTTAGAATGTGGTTGTTAAATGTTTTAAAGGGTATCGCTTTACTTTGGGAATCTGTCACTGGAGTTGTTTTTTTTTGCTCCCCAGGGCCTGGACCAAATGGAAGAAGATGGGCTACAACCGCCCCGAATCTTTCACTGGATTCGTGATTTCTCCAGGGACCCAAGCCAAATGGAAGAACATGGGCAACCGCCCCGTTCCCGAAAAGACCATTCCTCAGTTGTTCAGTGGCACCAATTATTGTCCCTTCTTTTTTTCGGCGGTCGCCCCACTAAAAATGGTCCAAGCCCCAAAAAGGGTTCCAAACCTTTTTTCCCCAGGGTCACTGAACAACTCGAGATTCGCCCTCCGTTTTTCGCTTTCGCCTGCCGTTTCGCAGGCGGCTTCGCCCTGGTGGCCTGCTGAGCTGTTCCCCTGGGTCAAGGATCGCCGAAGCCAAGGTCTTGCTGTGTCTCAAGTCACCCCCAAAATGGAAGCAACTGCTCAGCATTAAAAGATCTCCATTTTGCAACCATTTGAAACATGTTGTTTTTTGCACCAAAATAAAGGGAAACCATCAGTTACAAGGCAACTGCTCAGGGCTCAAGGGGTACCAATTTCAGCCGGAAGATCTTTGAAGCGTCCTTGTTGCCATTTGTGGCAGTTTAAACATCAATGGGCATGCCAATTTACACCAAGCCTGGTGATGCTGGGGAAATGGGCAACTAGAACTGCTGCGGCTACTTAGTTGCCTGCGTCCGTTCTCATCTTACAATGTGTCCTAAGCATTTTTAACCACTGTTTTCTGAGGGTTCTTGTATTACGCCCTTTGGCAAATGAAAATAACACGGTCTTATCTGGGAATGTGCCTAAATGGGGTCAATACCCAGTGGGTGTATTCCCAGAGTTTAATACAATTACCCTTAGAATTTTAACCCTGCCCCTGGCATACTTCCAGGGTTGCTTGCCTGATCCCATCGACCCAGTTTCGGGTCTCCCAGCAAACCACGCCAAGCCAAATTCAATCAAAGAATCCGAATCAACCCTTCAGTCCTCATTTACCAAAGAACTTTGCGGGGTACTTGTAGACGTGACGAACGTTCGTTTCAGGCGCTGGAGGCCCGGGCCAAAAACCTGCGGCGGCGCCTGGACCTGCGAACGATATTCGACGCAGCGCCTTGGGTAGAGGCCTTAGAGTCGAACGTATTCCCCAGCAGGGCTCCTTAAAAGAAATTCATGGCTGTGGTGGTCAAAAATGGGGTAACCCCAAAATGGCTTGCCCTGGTAAATGGAAACATGGACACCTGTGGTTTTGCTGGTAGTCAATTTTTGACCCACAACCACATTTTGCCCATTTGAAACATGGCTTTTTCCAGCAAAACAAGGGGAAACCACCAATTACAAAGCAATGTTCAGGTGTATAATGTAAGGATCCCTGCAAGAGCAGAAGCAGACAGCTTCTGTCGTGGTTGCAAGACTACACTTTACTCCGGGATGATGACCCGGGAAACCCCCCGGGCACAGTTGCCAGTGTGTTCTTGGTGTGAAGAGTCGTGCGATGTCTAGCGCATGTAATGATGCTTACACCTGTGGCCCACATCTTGGCTCTAGTCCCCAAGTGCTGTGTCTGGGCGTCACGCTTGCGCATGGTGCGACACCGTGCGGAGTGCGCGCGGACAAAGCAATTATGTTCTAAACGTCAGGGGGGGGTGATGTTGAAGTCAGCAGCCAGTTTGAGCCCCTGTTTTCGGTTTCAACAAATCGGAGCCGGCATGCCCTTTGTGCATTGACGAGAAGTTATTTGGCTTCCCAAACAACCTGAAAAGTTTGGACCCTCAAAAAGCAGACAGGTCCTGAACAAACACCGGCTGGAGTGAACTACAACACTGCCTGACAGGTTGCCAATACTGAGTTATCTAAATCCGACCTTTTGACCTGTCCGGGTTGTCCGGTTTGTCATGGCCTCTACCAACCACACGCCGGCGTGTTTTAACGTCTCTTGCTGAGGGTTTGGGCTGCTCCCGCTGCAAAAACATCCTGGCATGTGTTACATCACATGGTTACACCTGGCTGTGGGTCAAAATTAAGCCACCAGGGGGCCGCAGCTTCTAGTCCATGTTTCCTCTTACAAGGGTTTCATTTTGGGTACCTATTTTTGACCCACAGCCATCTGGTTTTGCTTAGACTGCTGCGTTTTATGTCCTGCATTGCTGCACGCCGGTAGGTGAATTATTCGGCTCCTAGCCCCGCCCGCCCAGTGGCGCCCATTTTCCTTTTTTTGGGAGATGGATGTCACTTCAAAGTCAACCAAGGAATAAAAAGATGCCCTTAAAGGCTTTTTTTAAAGGAAAAATGGCTTTAAAGGAAGATGCCCTTTAAAGGAAGGCTTTTAAAGAAGGATGCCCTTTAAAGGAAAAAACACATATTTTTTTCTCCCATGGCCACTGGGCATGTGAGTTTTTTCGGCCACCCTCGCTTTCTCTTCAGCGAGGCGCCGGTGGGTGGCCAACACCGGGCCTCGGGCAGCCACGATGGACACGCGCTGCGACGAGGCGTCGCGCAGATTCGCGCAGATTCGCGAAGTGCCTTACACAGCTTTACGTGAACCTCCTTCCATTTGCCGGATACTTGTTATTTTCCCTTGTTGGTTTGAAAGGAAGTTTATCACTATTGGACATATGGGTTTGTCCTTTTTGGTGTGTTGAGTTGCTTCATAAGGCAGAAGGTGGGACCTCCCCGAATCATACCCCCGAATCATACCCCGAATCATACCCCCGAATCATACCCCTTAAAACGTATGCTGCAAGATGCTACTGTTCTTCTACCGTTTTGTGTTTTTCACTGTCTCCACAACAACCACCACCAGCGCTACCCAATACTACCACTACCACTGCCACTGCCACTACTACTACTACTACTACTACTACTACTACTACTACTACTACTACTACTACTACTACTACTACTACTACTACTACTACTACTACTACTTCTACTTCTACTTCTACTACTACTATTCCCGCTTCTGCTGCTGCTGCTGCTGCGACTACTCACTACTACCACATACATCATTCTGAGTCTATCAGTGCCGTTTTGCACCTAGCCGAATCATGCCCGCGAATCATGCCCGAATCATACCCGGACAGTGAGCTTCCCCTGCCAAGGCTCGTGCTAAGTCTTCTTCACAGCGTCCGCACCACTACAGCCGCTGCTGCTTATGCTACAGCTGCTACCACTACTTCTGCAACTGCTACTACTACTACTCTTACCACTACTACTGCTACTACTACTACCACTACTGCTACTACCACAGCTACTACGAGTTTGTAATCAGTGCCGTTTTGCACCTAGCCGAATCATACCCGCAAATCATACCCGTGCAATGAACTTGCCTTGCCAAGGCCAGCGCCAAGTCTTCTCAAAGCTTCCGCGCCATTACAGTCGCTGCTTCTACTGTTACTACTACTACTACTACTACTACTACTACTACTACTACTACTACTACTACTACTACTACTACTACTACTACTTCTACTACTACTACTACGACTACTACTACTACTACTACTACTACTGCTAGGACTACTGCTGCTACTATTTATTACTACTCCTACTACTGCTACTACTCCTACAACAACAAGAACTACTACTACTACTACTACTACTACTACTACTACTACTACTACTACTACTACTACTACTACTACTACTATTACTACTACTACTACTACTAATACTACTACTACTAACTACTACTACTACGACTACTACTACTACTACTACTACTACTACTACTACTACTACTACTACTACTACTACTACTACTACTACTACTACTACTACTACTGTTGTTACTACTACAATATTACTACTAGTACTACTACTTCGGCGACTACTGCTGCTACTACTACTGCTGCTGCTGCTTCCGCGAATCATACCCCCGAATCATACCCCGAATCATACCCGCGAATCATACCTGCGAACCATACCCCGTACTCAAACCTTCCTGCCCGGCCACCCTAAAAAAATACAAACCCATATGTTGTTTTTTTCCTGGGGGCCTTTTTAGCAAATGCAGGCCTCGTTTCGGGCTGGAGAGAGCCAAAGAGAAACCAATCGAAGAGCAAAACAAATGGGTCGTTCAGCACCTCAAGTACCCGTTCGAAGCCGTCTGAGAGTCTGAGCCCATGCCATTGGTTTCCGAAAAATCCGGGAAGCCGTTTGAAGTCAAGCGGCTAGTTTTTGGGGCCGGGCGAGTCCATGTCCGGAGATCGAGCCCCTTTTTTTCCCGTCACGTGAGCCATGAGTCGATTGGGTCGTCCAAACGGCTTTGATTTCTGGGCTCCGCTTTTGAAGCCCAAAGATCCCCCTCGCTTTTGGCACCGGACCCCAGAACTAGGCGCATTGCAGAAAATGGCTGCGGCTGCTCGTTCTTTGGGGAACCAGACCCCCCGAATCAGCGGCTTTTTCCTCTTGGTTTACCTTTCAAAGCCACAAAATGGGGCACCATAAGACACACACAGTAGGCAAAGAACACGTTGCCATCTCCGTGGCTTGTCAAGTGGCTCAGACTATGTGCGCTACACAAAGTGCGGCCATTGCCTTTCGGTACGTTGATCTTATTTGTGCACAGGGATGGTCATCCACCAGGTTTTTGGATCCTGAAAACAACGGAGGCTTGACCATAGCTAATTTCTTGTTGGTCGGAGCAAGGCTGTTTATGTTGCTTCTTGTTTGATTGTTTCGATTCTCTGTGTTTTGCTTGGCGTAGTCTTCCCGTCGATTCCGTCGCGTAGAAAGGGGTAAGACTTGCAGATCTCAGCATGTGGGCCAGGGACTTGAAATGTGTCGTTTCGGTTGGCCGGTTTTAGCATCGGTCAGGTGGACGATTTGGTTCAGGATGTCCCCCATCGAAGGCCTAGCGGACTTGTTATTCGGATTTGTGGCCCCTTACCGATTCATCGTGGTTTTGATAGCCTTGGATTCTAAGGGACGTTCCCCAAGAAAACACAAGGGCGTGTTTGTTTCTCCCATCTGAAATGCCGTATCGGCTCCTTTAAACGTAACAGATTCTAGAGAGCTTTATTTGTCTCGCTTTTGGGTCCCCCTGTCTTATTCCCATATGCACGCGCGTGGCCTCGAACAACATGTTTCCAGCTCCTCGCGTTACATTTGTTTGCCTGTGCACATTGAAGCCGCCACTCATCATGAACATTTGATGGGGAAGAATTGCCCTTTACACGGTTTCTAGCGCAAATCCCCGTGTTAAGATCCACTTTTGTAGGGTCCAAGTACCTTGTAAGGATGCACTTCGAACCCTGTTTGATTTCCCGGACTACATCCTTAGACACCCGTCCTTTGGGATTAAACACCGTACACATCCGTGACACGGTGGTATATTAAAGGCAGCCATTTTGGGGGATCGCTCTGTGCGGGCCGCACCCCCCCCCCCCCGAAAATGGCGAAACGCTGTCACGAAACAGGGGGTACCCTGAATCAATAACACACATACAAACCCTGAGCCTGGATGTGTCAAGCCAAACCTGGCAACCCACAGTGTTGGGATCTCGCAGGGTTTTTGGGAGGTCCTCTTTGGTTTTGAGAGCCTGCAGTCTCCACTACCCTTTAAGAATGGTTGCTCATCACCCAAAATTGAGGGGTTATGACCCCATTTTTTTGAGGTCCTGGAGACTCCAGGCTCTCAAAACCTGAAAAACATTCGCCCCACGCAGCGCTTCGCTGCGTGTGACCTCCGGTCACGTCGAGAGCTCGAGGTGCCTGGCATGAGATCGTTCTCTTCGGCCAAAGCCTCAGACTCGCTCCGGCAAGTCACTGGGCAGGTGCTGAGTATACCTAGAGTCTCCATGACCCCAAGAAAAACGAGAAAAAGGGGTCATAACCCCTTAATTTTGGGTAGTGACCCCATTTTTGAAGGGTCGTGGAGACTCCAGGTTTTTTTTATTGTTTTTTTTCTTTTTTTCTTTTTGTTTTCCCGGGAACCAAAAGGATCTCCCCTGCAGTTCAACATGGAAGCCAAAAAGAGGCGCCACAAAAAGTTCCAAAATGATGTTTTAGATTTTAGGGGTTCATGTTAATCTGCAGTGTAGACATTTCTTTTTCAGATCTGACTATCCTGGCCTGGCGCAAGGACTGCACCTCAGATGGATTGGCGCACACTAGGACTGTGACAGATGGATTCGAAGCCTTGGTGCCACTTTTCGAATGCAACACATTTTCCAAGAGGCAGTCTTGAGATCATAGCCATAGCTTTGGGGTGTGGTGTTGGAAATCAAAAGCTCGTTTTTCGTGGAATTGATTTTGTTTCGATACTAGTCCTTCAACCGTTCCCAGCAAGGAGCGTCTGCGCCTTGCCGGGGTCTGCTGGGTGTCCTTTCGGCTTCGAAGCTGCTGGGTTCCGCTGGTTTCGGCGGTTTTTATCCCAGCCATTTACCAGGGAAGCCCATCCTCTTTTTTTTTCCAACGGGACACCAATTCCTGGAGTCTCCTCTAAGGACCCTTTAAAAGTGGTGGGTCATGGCGCAAAATTTGGGGTAAAGGGGACCCATGTTGGAAGGGTCCTTAGGGAGACTCCCGGTTTGGGAGCGTATTCGAAGAAAATTCGGGACATTTGAAGACAGCCCTCCAGTGCGAAGGCGCCCCACAAAAGGTCAACCTTTCCAATTGGCTGTCCTTGTGCATTTCCAGATCCTTTGGGCAGTAAGCTTTGTGTCTTGTTCATGGCTGCAAGAAAACACAGGCGCATAGCGGAAGATGCCGTTGATCTCACAGTGAGCTTGCCGAATGGTACAAGCACAGCTGTTTCCGTTTGCAAGACTTCGACGATTGCAGACCTTCAAGTTGCTGCGCAGAAGGCTCTTGGACAAGGCGTCTTGAGGCTTGTTTCTCCCGATGGTGAGATTTTACATACGAACCAGAGCGTGACAGAGTCTGGACTTCGAGATGGAGACAACCTCAGTGCAGTTCGACAACAACCTCAGATCGTTGCAACAGCCAGGGCGTTCACTCTCTTCTGTCATGGTGGGAACAGGCTGGTCACTTGGGGCAATCCTAGCAAGGGTGGTGATAGCAGTGCTGTCCAGGATCAACTGAGACACGTGCAGCAGATTCAAGCAACAGCTGATGCGTTTGCAGCGATTCTCACAGATGGGGCAGTCATCACTTGGGGCAATCCTGACAGCGGTGGTGACAGTAGTGTTGTCCAAGATCAGCTGAGAAACGTGCAGCAGATTCAATCCACGAGTAGTGGTGCTTTTGCTGCCATCCTGGCAGATGGGGCAGTCATCACTTGGGGCAAGCCTGACAGCGGTGGTGACAGCAGTGCTGTCCAAACTCAGCTGAGAAACGTGCAGCAGATTCAATCCACGAGTAGTGGTGCTTTTGCTGCCATCCTGGCAGACGGGGCAGTCGTCACTTGGGGCAAGCCTGACAGCGGTGGTGACAGCAGTGCGGTCCAAGATCAGCTGAGGAACGTGCGGCAGATTCAATCCACATCTGATGCTTTTGCTGCCATCCTGGCAGATGGGGCAGTTGTCACTTGGGGCAATCCTGATAGCGGTGGTGACAGCAGTGCTGTCCAAAATCAGCTGAGACATGTGCAGCAGGTTCAAGCAACAGACGATGCCTTTGCAGCGATTCTCGCAGATGGGGCTGTGATCACTTGGGGCAATCCTGACAATGGGGGTGACAGCAGTGCTGTCCAAAATCAGCTGGCAAACGTGCAGCAGATTCAATCCACGAGTGCTGCTTTCGCTGCAATCCTGGCAGATGCTTCCGTCGTCACTTGGGGGGATCGTTGCTATGGTGGCAACAGCAGAGCTGTCCAACACAAGCTCAGAAAGGTGCAGCAGATTCAATCCACAGACGATGCCTTTGCTGCTATTCTGGCAGATGGGGCAGTCATCACTTGGGGTAACCGTTGCACTGCTGGCAGCAGGGCTGTCCAAAGTCAGCTGAGAAACGTGCAGCAGATTCAATCTACAAGTGGTGCTTTTGCTGCAATCCTGGCAGATGGGACAGCTATTAGTTGGGGAGACCCTTCCTTTGGCGCTGACAGCAGTGCTGTTCAAAATCAGCTGAGAAAGGTGCAGCAGATTCAATCCTCAGGTGATGCTTTTGCTGCCCTCCTGGAAGATGGGACAGTCATCTCTTGGGGCGATCTTGGTGGCAGCAGGGAGATTCAGTCTTTCCTCCATATTTGACAGAGGCAACGGGTCAGATCATTCCAAGTCCGGCATGACAAGAATCAATGGAGGAGAGGTGAAAGGGTCTGGGACGAATGAATACCGCTTCAAAGATTCCCAACTGGCTACTGTGTGCAAGTGCAGGGCTTCTACTACATACTGGCGAATGGTTTTATGTTTAACCGATTTCATTGGACGAGCTATATAAGTGACGAAAGTATGAAGCACGTTTGTGAGGGGAGAGTCGAATTAATGTTTGCCACCTGTTGGCTGCTTAATAGCTCAGTTGTCCTAAACAAACAAACGCCAACTTCCTCCATGTTCCGTTGGGTTGTTCAAAGGCAAAGCTTAATCCTTGCCTTGGGGGTTACGCAAGGAGCAAGTCCCCTTTGTATTGCCTCCCCAGTGGTACTATGGAAAACGGATTGGCCAAGCCTCCATTTGACCAAACCCGCAAAGGCCTTTTGGCCAAGCCTCCATTTTGAACAGCCCTGAAACTTTCATCAATGCATAGACAGGGCTCCTTAAAAGATACATTTTGCCCATTTGAAACATGGCTTTTTCCACCAAAATCAAGGGGCACCTCCATTTGCAAGGCGATCCCTGATAGACCTAACGACCTGCTGGCTTGGAGCAATCCAAGGACCCGGTGGCTTTCCTTCCAAGAAAGCGGCCGAAAACGCGACGTGAGGCCTGGGCAACGAGGCGCGTTCGTTGGGCTGGCGCTTGTGGTGGAGTGCTGGGTATGTGTGGCTCGTCTTTTTGTCGAGGCTCGGCGCGCTTTGTTGGATGAGTTTGAAGGGAAACCAACAGGAAACCGTTTTTTGTGTGTGTGTTTTTTGTTGGATGGGAAACCAACAGCACACCTTTTGTTTTTTGTGGGGGGGGGTCCGGTCCGCTTTCTAAAGAAATGGCGCACAGTCGTATGGGTATGTGTAAAATTAGGGGCCCCGAAAATGAGTGGTTCCCGTTGGTGTCCCTTCAAACCCCAACATGATCCAGAACAAGTAATGACCATCCAAACAGCCAGATGTGTCTTGGTCGCTTTCGACCCTTTGTCTTCGGTTTGGGATGGTCGTCAACCTTTTGGAGAGTTCCGAACATTGCCAGAATGCCTCAGGGAACCATGACCATGGCCCACTCGAGTTTTGACGCCCATGTTGGTTTCCAATCTTGTTGGTTTCCCCGTTTTCCCTGGCGAGCTTTTGGGTGAGCGGTCCAACTAGGCGTCCTTGTTTTAGCCCTGTTGGGTGATGAGTTCCTTTTGGGGTAATGGTACATGGAGTTTGGTTGATTTAAACTTTGGAGCCTCCGGCTCAGTCCGCCGACATTGTCCTCTCCCTGTTCTCCTTCTTCCTCTCTTCCTTGTCTCCCTTGTGTGTTCTGTCGTCCTCTCTCCCTCCCTCTGCTCCCATCCTCCCCATCCCCCAAGCCTCTCTCTCCCCAATCTCCCTCTCTCGTATGTATGTATGTATGTATGTATGTATGTATGTATGTATGTATGTATGTATGTATGTATGTATGTATGTATGTATGTATGTATGTATGTATGTATGTATGTATGTATGTATGTATGTATGTATGTATGTATGTATGTATGTATGTATGTATGTATGTATGTATGTATGTATGTATGTATGTATGTATGTATGTATGTATGTATGTATGTATGTATGTATGTATGTATGTATGTATGTATGTATGTATGTATGTATGTATGTATGTATGTATGTATGTATGTATGTATGTATGTATGTATGTATGTATGTATGTATGTATGTATGTATGTATGTATGTATGTATGTATGTATGTATGTATGTATGTATGTATGTATGTATGTATGTATGTATGTATGTATGTATGTATGTATGTATGTATGTATGTATGTATGTATGTATGTATGTATGTATGTATGTATGTATGTATGTATGTATGTATGTATGTATGTATGTATGTATGTATGTATGTATGTATGTATGTATATGTATGTATTTATGTATGTATGTATGTATGTATGTATGTATGTATGTATGTATGTATGTATGTATGTATGTATGTATGTATGTATGTATGTATGTATGTATGTATGTATGTATGTATGTATGTATGTATGTATGTATGTATGTATGTATGTATGTATGTATGTATGTATGTATGTATGTATGTATGTATGTATGTATGTATGTATGTATGTAATGTAATGTATGTATGTATGTATGTATGTATGTATGTATGTATGTATGTATGTATGTAATGTATGTGTATGTATGTATGTATGTATGTATGTATGTATGTATGTATGTATGTATGTATGTATGTATGTATGTATGTATGTATGTATGTATGTATGTATGTATGTATGTATGTATGTATGTATGTATGTATGTATGTATGTATGTATGTATGTATGTATGTATGTATGTATGTATGTATGTATGTATGTATGTATGTATGTATGTATGTATGTATGTATGTATGTATGTATGTATGTATGTATGTATGTATGTATGTATGTATGTATGTATGTATGTATGTATGTATGTATGTATGTATGTATGTATGTATGTATGTATGTATGTATGTATGTATGTATGTATGTATGTATGTATGTATGTATGTATGTATGTATGTATGTATGTATGTATGTATGTATGTATGTATGTATGTATGTATGTATGTATGTATGTATGTATGTATGTATGTATGTATGTATGTATGTATGTATGTATGTATGTATGTATGTATGTAATGTATGTATGTATGTATGTATGTATGTATGTATGTATGTATGTATGTATGTATGTATGTATGTATGTATGTATGTATGTATGTATGTATGTATGTATGTATGTATGTATGTATGTATGTATGTATGTATGTAATGTATGTATGTATGTATGTATGTATGTATGTATGTATGTATGTATGTATGTATGTATGTAATGTAATGTAATGTAATGTAATGTAATGTAATGTAATGTAATGTAATGTAATGTAATGTAATGTAATGTATGTAATGTATGTAATGTATGTAATGTAATGTAATGTAATGTAATGTAATGTAATGTAATGTAATGTAATGTAATGTAATGTAATGTAATGTAATGTAATGTAATGTAATGTAATGTAATGTAATGTAATGTATGTAATGTAATGTAATGTATGTATGTATGTATGTATGTACGTATGTATGTATGTATGTATGTATGTATGTATGTATGTATGTATGTATGTATGTATGTATGTATGTAATGTATGTATGAAATGTATGTATGTATGCATGCATATGCATGTGTATGTATGTATGTATGAATGTATGTATGTATGTATGTATGTATGTATGTATGTATGTATGCATGTATGTATGTATGTATGTATGTATGTATGTATGTATGTATGTATGTATGTATGTATGTATGTATGTAATGTATGCATGTATGTAATGTATGTATGTATGTAATGTATGTATGTATGTCTGTAATGTATGTATGTATGTATGTATGTATGTAATGCGTGTGTGTATGTATGTATGTAATGTATGTATGTATGCATGCATGTATGTATGTATGTATGTATGTATGTATGTATGTATGTAAGCATGCATGTATGTATGTATGTATGCATGTATGTATGTATGCATGTATGCATGTATGTGAGTATGTAAGTAGGTAAGCAAGTAAGCAAGTCATGTAATGCATGTAATGTATGTACGTATGTATGTATGCATGCATGCATGCATGCTTACATACATGTATGCATGTATGTACGTATGTAATGTATGTATGTATGTAATGTCAGGTAATGTCATGTAATGTAATATATTGTAATGTACTGTACTGTAATGTATGTATGTATGTATGTATCCTTGCACTTCCGCTTTGCTCCGGAGTATGTCCCGCAAAAAAACACGGTTTTTCCAGCGTTTTCGCAAAGAGGACGTCCAAAAACATTGAGTTTTTCCAGATTTTCGGCAAAAAGATGCAGGAAGCCCAAGCCAGCAAAAAAGCCGGCAGGGGGAATCGAGCCTGGGACCCCTGTTCTCCCCGAAGACTACGTTTAGTGGAACGTCATCAAATTGCCGCGCGGTACGTGGGCCCCCCCCGTGCCTTGGACGCTTGGCGTCCATACGGCGAATGACGTGTTTTGCTTAGTGGCACGTTGCGTGTCCGGCCCAATCGGACTTCTCGGACGGATCGGACGACACGGACGTGCCGAACGGACGAGCGCGCACGCACATGCCGGATGGCTTGGACGGCTCTCCGAGGGCTGGGGCAGATCAAAAGCTCGGACTGCTGTAGGGCTTGGACTCCTCGCACGGGTCGGACAGATCGGACGGCACGGGCGGCTCGGACGCATCAAGCCGATCGGACAGCTTGGGCGGCTCGGACGGCTCGGTTGGATCGGATGACGTTGACGGCAGCTCGGACGGCTTGGGCGGCTCAGATGCAGCGGACGGATCGGGCAGCTCGGTTGCGCCGCGCGGACAGCTCGGACGGATCGGACGGCCCCGATGGCTCGCGCGGGTCGGACGGATCGGACATATCGGATTGATTGGGTCGTTGGGGCGGACTCATTGGACGGTTCGGACGGCTCGGATGTCGCGGTCGGATCGGACTGCTTGGACGGATCGGACAGATCGGACAGCTCGGACGGCTCGGACTGATCAGACGGATCGGCCTGATTGGACGGAGTGACGGCTCGGACGACTCAGACGGCTTGAGCGACTTGTATGATTTTGACGGTCTGCGCAGTTGAAAAGCTTGGAGGGCGCGCGCGGCGCGGAGAGCCTGGTCGGTTTGGACGGGCCGGACAGCTCGGACGGATTGGACAGACAGATCGGACGGCTCCGACGGCTCGCGCAGCTCGCACGGTTCGCGCGGCGGGTCGTGCGGATCGCACAGATCGGATTGATGGGGCAGATGAAGGCAGCGCGTCCTGGAGAGGCACGCTCGTTGCTCTTCAAGGCGAGGGCAAATGAGCGGGGTTCAGCTGGCTCCCCTAAATGAGCGCCCCGGAGACGCCCGCTTGTCTGCCCTCCCCCGCCGAGGGCAAATGAACGGGGTGTGTTTGTTTAGTTTTTGACGTGCCTCGGGCAGAAATCAGCACGTTTAGGAGGCCCTCTTGTTTGTTCTCACTGGTGACCGGCAGAAATCAGCTCCCGCGAAAGGCTCGCTCATTTGCCTTCACCAGTGAGGGCAAATGAGTGCATGGGGTCCGCTTGTTCAGTTTTTTATGTGCCTCGGGCAGAAATCAGTTTCCCGCAGGGCCTGCTCATTTGCCTCCACCGGGGAGGGCAAATGAGCGGGGTCCGTTTGTTGAGTTTTTTCACCGTGTCGGGCAGAAATCAGTTCCTCGCAGGGCCCGCTCATTTGCCCTCACCATTGACGGCAAATGAGCGGGGTCCGTTTGGTTAGCTTTTACTGTGCCTCGGGCAGAAAATCAGCACGCCGGAGAGGCCCGCTCATTGGCTCTCACCGCTGAGGGCAAATGAGCGGGGTGCGTTTGTTTAGTTTTTACCGTCCCTCGGGCAGAAATCAGCACGCTGGAGAGGCCCGCTTTATTGGTGAGGGTAAACCCCTGTGTTGAGTTCTTACCGTGCCTCGGGCAGAAATCAGCACGCTGGAGAGGCCTGCTCATTTGCCCTCACCGCCTCGAAGAGTTCCGCTCATTTACCCTCGCCGCGGAGGGGGCCCGTTTGTCGAGT